AAATTTCCCAACCAAGACGTAGAGAAACAAGAACGAATCGGTTCAAATGAAGGAAAACAAAATGCAGATATCATAATTACAACCTACCAAATTTATGTGTATAAGTTTTAGGCAGCTTCCTTGTTCGAGGAATGTATCAGTGAATATCCACACAAAGGAACAATATCCCACTCGTCTGCAGCTGTACAAAGAAACTTATTCGATGTCCCGTGTCTCAGTAACAATCAAATATTTTAAAAGATATATATCGTTTCGGGATATTATAACCCGTGTTCGTTTCTCAACTGATCGCTTGGATTGTTTCAGGTGTTTTACATAGGTGTCAAGTCTCAATGGTCGGCTGAGAAAGCCCACGTATTTTCATAGCGTCCACGGTTCCTAAAAATTCCATTGAGTGATAGATAACAATGATCAATCAATCAACGTATTATCAGTTAACCCTTTCAACAAAGTATGTTGTTTTTACATCGGCACTTCGCGCCATGATATGAGTGTATTCCCTTTGTTTTAGTAAACCTAGACATGTAAACACTCACTCTTGACATATCCACTGTGCAAGATAACAGTGATTAATCAGTCAACGTATTTTCTGTTAATCCTTTGATGACTAGGAACGATCCGTTGATTTACAAAAAAAAGTAAATCAACTGATCATTCATCTCTTGCTGGGCTGCCACGTGCATATTACATAACACACATTTCACCTCACTTCAAACCTGGATTTAGATTGAATAATTACCCCAGACACAATAAATGCCAAATGGGAACCTTTGTCAGGTAATATAAGTGGTGCTACCACTAATTGTACCTGTAATAAATTCATTAACTGAGCATCAAGTGAATGACGACAAATACACAAGTGTAGGGTTATACAAGAAAACGTGGATGACAACAAGGGAGTAGTAATCGTATTATCGACGCAAGCCGAAATCCGAAAATGCTTTCACTGCATGGATACTGTTTTTAGTATTAAACTATAACCATCTGGGGTATTTCCAAATGACGACATCCGATGAGCTCCCTTGTTCTTTTTGTCTGTTTGTTTAGGCTGAAGAAATGAATTAACAGTTAACCAATCAGTGTTCAACAATGCATAAAACAAATATTGCCTCCAACCTCCAAGTTTATTTAGCTGTCCTTGCAGACGGTACCCCAGTCTCTGGTCACGCTCAGTTGCGTTGCGTATCATCCGGGTACTCACGGGGGAAAAACAATAACAAAGGCAACAACCAGTCCGGCGAATTGCGTTAGATCAGTGCCCCTTTAAAGATTTTTTCGCCAAATATAAGAATTCATAAAATCCACTTACCCATTTCTTTTTTATTTTCATTTGTTTACGCTGTTGGAACATTATTTTAAAAAGAATTACAAATAATATCTGTCATCACCAATTTCCCAATGATAGTGGCTGTCCGCTCACTAACATGATGAAATACCTCCTTTTCAAAGCTTCGTATGAATAACACAAACGTCTAAGGCTGCCATGTCAGTATACATTAGTGAGTGAGTGAGTATGGTTTTACGCCGCTTTTAGCAATATTTCAGCAATATCACGGCGGGGGACACCACACAGTATACATTAAAAAAACCTTATATTGTTTCACCGACAAAATCTTCTACAAGGTTCGTGATTGGTCAAATTTAAGCACGTGACCTAACGCAGCCAATCAAATTACAGCAACGGTAATTTTCAGACTTTGGCGAAAGGTTTGGGTTAAATCATGTTATTCTGAACGGTTAAGCATGGAATCGCGATCTATATTAAAAATATGGACATTTATGGATGTATAGAGCTAGGTTACGAGCTATGACAAAGATTTCTTATGCATATATTTTGGCATTAAGACATCGTGTCCGAGCCGAGAAATCGAGGCGACGAAAGGCGAGATGTCATTTGACTGGCGATTACATGCGATCGCACGAAAAGTTGGAAATAATACCTAAGATGTCAGTTTGGCAACTTTTATAGATATATTTTTGAAGATTTTATTTCTTTGTAAATAAAGACGTTTCAGCACATGAAACGTCTTTTTTTTGCTGTTTGACATCTCGATGAGGACCCGTTGTCGAAGTGTGTCCGAGAATATTTTCAATAACATTGCGGGAAATCGTGTCTAGTGAATACATTTTTAATCTATAGATAAAAAAATGATGAAATCAAATGGAATACGTATTTCAGACATTGTGAAATGTGATAGATTTAATAAATGAACGATGTGACAAGTAGGTTAATATAATTATAAACTATTTTGACGTGACTTGGACGGTCTACCGTGCGGTGTGACTTGTGGCTTTGAACGGCCAACAGTGTTGAACTAGTTAAACTGGTCACCACTGCGCTTTGCGTCGACAAGCTATGATGGTATTAGAGAAGGATCCCAGCAAGAAATATCAGAGGGACTTCCCTTTGCTTTACGCTCGACGAGAAAATGTAATCTTTTTTTTGTTTGAACTTTTTGTCGAAAATATCGGCGGTCATAAAAAAAAGGGTAATTTTCATTTTTATTTTTTTTTAACATTTGGACTTTGAAAGAGCGGCGCATCCGTAAACCAAGAAATAAAAAAATTGTCGCCTAATGATGAGAAAGATTCCGTTCTACCGCTATTGTATTTTTCATCTTTGACTGGAACAGCTCTGAGTAGAGTTGAAGGACTTTCTAGTTGAATATTATCCGTCGTGCTTATTTGATCAAGATGGATGCACAACTCTTTATAGGGAACTAAATCGGGTAATTTATCTCCATGCCGTGTTTGGTTGGGTGGTATTAATATTAATCCTTTTTCGTCTCCTATTACAAATCCAAGTGTATCTGCTAAGCGCTAGACAAGAACTACTTCCTTTTCTCCAGAGTTCAAAATCAGCATCCCATTCGACTCATTTTTTATGAGACTAACTCCCAAAGGCTTAAAAAATTCATCATTGAGTGAGCATACGCTGTAATACCCATCAGGTATAATGTGTTCTTTTCTAGTTATTATTATCTCATTATTATATCTCGCAGCATTTATATTGGTCCACCGCGGGTAATCCGTTACATCGCACAGAGCGACTTCAAGTTGTCCATCCGAGTTATCGATAGTATGAAGCAGTTCAATAGACTGACCATTTGTTATTCCCGGGAGTGTGACATACATATTAAATATACAATGATACTATATCATAACTTAAATATGAAATCAACTTACATTACTAATCAGTCGATTTTAGTAAGTGCCTCTGGTGCTAATTTTTTTGTTGAATTCCCTGATATCTTTGAAAAATATAGGTTCACGGCAACTAGCGATAAAATGGTGCACAATTGGTTCCACAATCTGATGCAATTTTGGCAGAATCAGTTAAACTTTGCCATATGGTGTGCCACAACAGGATGTGGTGTATCTCTTTATGCCCCAGGATTTGAACTAAATAAGTCTGTTTTATCATTTCACGTGTACTATCAGATTAGACGTATACTTAAAGAAATTAGTGCCCCATTACCGCAGGATCGAGCATGGAATGCATCAAATAATCCGTACAATAGGTTCGCGTATGAACGTATTAGTCAGGAATTTAATATTGCTACAAGTAAAGATTGGCGTATTTAAGGAATCAACCATGGTCTAGGTGTTCCGTACAGCGGACAAAAAACTGTTAAAGAAGAAAGCGATGATTTAGTTAAAAAAACTAATCAACCATTCAATCCATTTAAGTTGTTACAGAAAAACAATCTTTTTGTAAGATTACATAATCTTAATCATGGCTGGGAACTTTCGAGTAATGATTGGAGAGGAGATCTTATGAGTTTTAAGGGTGGTTTGGCTTATATTGTTACAAAATTTGTACAACTGAACGATACCGCAAACTCTTGGAATGAATTTCTATATGATAAAACAGAAAATAATTTTACTAATCCAGGAGTTGTAAGAGTTAATGAATCAATAAGAACTTATGTATGGGCAATTCTCGGTGCACAATCCCAAACACGTACATCCATTATTGGTTCTGGGACGGCACTCGATGCACAAAAACAGTTTGTTGCAAACGTGGAGGATGCTATTAATTCACCAGTTGATATACCATCTTCTATAAAACTTTATCAAGATGTATTACAGTACGCTCAATCCAAAGTAGACTACTTTTATGCGCCGGGACTATACATGTCTCCGAGTAATATGGAACTTAAGATCGGTCAAGTGATAGGTTATAATAATAAAATTGTTATTACTACCGATCAACAAAACACAGGTATAAATTCAGATATTAACACCGAATTAATAACGCAAACAAACACAGGCGAAACGGGAATAGTCAAGCCACAGTCACCACATGTTTCACAACCATCTACTAACGCACAACCACAAGAGCCACCGCATATTGCGGCTAAAAATCAACAACATATCGATGAAAAAACAGCGCTTATAGTAGGTGGAGTCGTGGCTGGTTTACTCATGATTTGGATACATAGTTCTTAGCGGATACGTACAACAGCCCTGCAATTGCTATGATCAGTGCCAACAAGTTTTGAATAGGCCAAGTGGTGGTCTTAGCTAATAAATTCAAGAGCCAGAAAACTATACTCCCTATTATACCGGGAACTGCAGACGCGGCTTTCCCAGCGAGCTTTCCCAGTGCTGAACCTAATGCTTTTAAATGCTTTTTTATCCACTCTTTTACACCATCCCTATCACTAGGCGGTGCACCACCTCCTGTATAGGGAATAATAATGTGTTTAATTTGAATAATTTACGCGAAGGGGAGAGGGAATTTCGCGAAGATTTTGGTAAAGATTTTGACGGTTTCGACAAAGTGTCCCCACCCCCCCCACCCCCCGCCAACTTTCAAGAATGGGAGTGGCAGAGGGACCACAACGGTGGAACCATGAGGGATTTTGAAGAGGCGACCGGACTCAAGAATACTTTTTGACACGGTGAGTGAAGAGTCGTGCTATTGATTTTTTCCAACTGTTTTACAATGATTCTGTGTTTGAACAGATTATCAGGGCGACGAATGAGAATGCAGCCTACACGTGAACTAGCGATCACAACAACAACAAAGGTGAGTGGCATGACGTATCTCTTTCTTTTTTTTTAAATTTATTTTTCTGATCGTAATCCGAATTGTAGTTTGCCGGTTTGTGGTATGTCCTTGTATTTCGCTCAATTTGAATAAAATTTATTTCGATATTCATGTTCGTTTTCTTGTTTTTTACATCTTAATTTAAATTTTAGTAACTGTAATAATTATTTATTTATTAATTGATTTAATAAAGTACTGATTTAATTTATTATGCAATTGTAAATAGCAGTGTATTGTAAATATGTTATCACAACTTGTATATTTGCAGAACTTGAATTTACGATCTTTCTGTCCTTTTACAATCTTTCCCTCCTTTCAGATCAATCTGTGATATCTTCCCTGTGATGTCATTCTTATAGTAGCTGTGGTTCAATGTTCAGGTAATGTGATTAATTGCTATTTAATTACTTAAATACTTAATTTTTGTTTCAAATCCTGAAAAAGAACAAAGTAAATCTGATATTTGTGTTTTTACCTGTGTTAACAAGTTTACCTGCGTTAACGAGTTTCCCTAAGAGGCTGTAAGTGTATCATAAGTAATATGTGACATCAGTATAGAAAACAAAGTCGGTACCAAGTGTTGTAAACTTGTTTATATGTTTACAGATGTGCATGAAGAGAATTTACCTGTAACACCTGGGATTACCTGTGCCGTCCAAGATGACAAGACCACTGTGTTATGTTTACCTTGTATCTGTGATTTCTTTTTGTGATTTTTAATACAATTTAAGCCAAAATTCATTGTCTGTTATCATTTTTTCAGTGTTTTCAAGTTTTATTTCACTTGTAAACACCTGTAATTAGAAAATAACAAAGGTTAAAGACAATAACAACAAAGAATATTACAGTATACTTAATCCTCTTTACAATGGTATATGATAAATGTATATTAAAAGCAAGTTTCTGGTAGAAAAAGTGCATCAAAAATGATAGTGTGATTTTCCAATAATACTGCCAGGGAGGCCAGTGTGCAGGCCTTGTCAGTGTCAGGGACTGCAGTGTTTCAAGGGACATAACTCTGGGGCATCCAGGGATGAAAGAGTTAATGTTGTTCGAGGAAACCTCCGATGCATTTAAAAGAAATACCGAGAAGTTCTACAATCCCAAGATTACAAAAGTAGAATTGACTATCGAGGGCGTTCCTAATCAACTATATAGTCAAGAAATGCTAGCGTATCAACAGAGGGATGAGATTAAAAAACTCCCTTCTATAAAACGAAGCCCAGACGTTAACGCGGTCGTGAAAGATCTGTCTCTCGGGGATGTATCGATACCTCACCAAGAAGTATGCGCTATGGCTCGACATGCGAACAACGGAAGATGACCAACTACACAGCAGTGGGAGGAGAATAGAAAATGCTAGCGAGGGTGTCACTATACAGATAACGAAGCGCCAGGAATCAGCTGGTAAATTAAACATATATTTGTACGTGATTATGGATGCACAACTTAATATACAGAATGGAAGATTCGTGCAAGCAATCTATTAATAATCTTTAACCTAAAGAACTTCACTGCGCTATCATCTACGGGCAAACAGGTTGTGGAAAAACAGCTTTTATTCTAGATATTTTTGAAAGTCATTATTGGGACGTTTTCGCCCATATTATTATTTTGTGTCCGACTATAAGCGTTAATAAAACATACCTATCGAAAGATTGGGTAATGAATGATGATGGGCTACACAGAGTTGATCCGGGCGATCATTTACAAGACTGTTTACGAGTATGCCACGAAAAATACAAAGGAGAATCAACCCTTTTCATAATAGACGATTGTAGTGCGAGTAAAGAACTAACCAAAAAGAAGATATGCTTTCATATTTAGCATTCTCCGGACGGCATACTCAACATAGCGTTTGGGTACTTACTCAAAAAAACAACTGTCCTGAAAGATCTCAGAGAGCAGACCAAATGGGTAGCCTTGTTTCATTGCAAAGACTGAGATTCATTTGAGGAATGTTTACGCGAAAATGATGTTATATATACCAAGTAAGAACGAGATAACGTCAGAAAACTGTTAGCTTCAACGAAGCACTGTCAACTTGTATTAAAAACCGATCAACCAGCTGCTTATGCAATTGCTTAACAAAATGAAGCAAAAATTATAGCAAATATAGCAAAAATATGGCAAAATTATAGCAAATATAGCAAAAAAGATAGCAAATATAGCAAAAATACGATAAATTGAACATTAGCAGTTATTATGATGTAATAATGTGGCTTGAAATCCTCATTCTTTTGCAACAGTTTATAATTACGGGCTGTATTGGGTATGCCATATTTTATTATGTTAGACTTAAATATCTCCTTAGGTGTTACATTATGGAATGCGACGAACTCATCGAACAAATGCTCAAAGATGAGCCCGATCAAGATGTAGATAAATGTTTAGATAAACATAGAGAAAGACTCGCCGCTTTGGCAGCTGGTGGAAAATGTTCCGAATATTTTGGGGAAAATTATACCATCGAAAAAATTGATAACATGACCGATGAAGAAATTAAAAAACTGTACGCACGTTATGAGTCTAGACTGGGAGTTACCATGACTAAAACAATAGGGTCGGCTATGTTACAACTATACACAGTCGTAGCTAGTATGTTTCTCCCTATCCCAGCAGAACATCGCCCGCATTTATGCGAATCTCTCGAGAAAGACCCATTCATCGAACACGCTATAAGCTCAGTAGGCTGTGAGTTTTATCATAGATATGGAATGTTCTGTTCACTCACCACAGCTTTAATAAAGGCAAGGTATTGTCAATTCAAACATAAGTGCCCACTTAATAATAATAGAGAGTCAAGTGACACCACAACAGATTGAGGAAACACAATCACAACAAGTGACACCACCACAAATTGTGGAACAAGTGAACGAGGATGCATAACAGATTGTGAATGAGGAAATACCACAAGTCAGAGTGACAAAGAACCCCCCAAAAATAGCAGCCGGAAGAAAGGGCTGGCTGGCGAGGAAAGCGAAACTAATGCATAATTCAAATATTTAACATAGTTGTCCGATTAAAACTTGGGCACTGGTAGGAGTTGTTGCTATAGCGGTGGTATGGTTGTTTTATAAGACCGGAGAAGAGAAAACATCACCCCCGATGTCACAACAAGTTCAATTAGAGGTTAGCCCTCATGTAATGTTAATGACTACTCCAGTTACAGACGGTAAAATGTTGGTAAATGCAACGTATCATTCAGCGGTGGTCAGCGGCTTGGCCATTGGCTATGCCCGTATGGCTAAAATGATTACTAAAGCCACACCTCCCAAGCTAGATTTTAATGGTTATGATATCGGTATGATGATTCTCGATATTGGATTGGCTATGGCTACAAAAGATATGCTCATCAAACAAGGGCTTATCCCAGAAGACATAATGAAGTAATTAAACATTTGAATATATTATATTGATATAAATATGGCAACAATTGCGATGATGGTTGGTGGAGCTGTTGTTAATGCTCTAGCTTTTTCGGGGAGTAATTTTTTATTTTCTAGTATGAGAGGTTCGGAGAGTAAACGACATAATAAAGCATTAGAACAACTCGAAGCAGCCCAGTCACAATGGACCAGGTGCAGAATGGAGAGATTAGATTTTATTAATGAAGAAATGCGTAGGCAGGGACATTCAATTCAAACGTTTAAGGATGTTGAATCTGCCATGCACGAATACTACCTTGTTTATGGGAAAAAACTTGACCCAATACCAAAACCAACAATAAGTCAGTTTTATACACCGTCAGAGGAACAAAAAACCCGCAATATCCCATTCATCATGTTTAGCTTATCAGTCATTGCTATTTTTAGCTACACAATAACTACGCATAAACCATGACCTAGTTAGGGTCTCACCAGTGGAGATGTGATTTGCATTTAGACAAATGATATGATAGATGTATAACCATGAATCTGTGCAGATTTACACTCATGGGGAAGCCGACTCAATGTAACCTACGTTCTATTGGTATTTACTGTGGTATCCACTCTTATTACATCAGGCGGGGAAATGTAAATTATACATGTTCTGTATGTGGGATAGGGGTCAAAGGTCGTTATTGTTTATGTAAGAAACACGGTGCTGATAGGGTCAGGAACCAGATTATTTATGCTAGGAAGAGAGATTACATCAATGAAAGGAATAGGTTAGGGAGAATACGTATTTAGATATATGAAAAAACAACCAATTAGACATTTGACTCATTTTGCATATACCATTAAACCACAATGGTTTTTGTGAGAGAGTTGAAGGCTTTAGCAAAGCAACGTGGCCTACGTGGATATTTTCGAATGAGAAAAGCTGAATTGATCGATTTACTCAGTTTGGAATACAACAAATCCCAGACTGTTAGAGAACTCAAAGCTCAAGCAAAAAACAGTGGGCTGAGAGGTTATTCTCGAATGAGAAAAGCTGAATTGATCGCTTTACTAGATAATAATGATGTTGATAATAAACAACAAGATGATGTTGATAAAAAACAACAAGATGATGTTGATAAAAAACAACAAGATGATGTTGATAAAAAACAACAAGAATTAAAATTTGTACCCACATCCACCAGCGTTGGTAAATATCTAAGAGGTTGGAAGATGGATATTAATTCCAACATGGATGTTAATGATGTTAAGTCCATCATATCGAGCAAAATTAACGAGGAGTTAGATGATTTACATAGTATAAAATACCAGCTGACGATTAAAATGTCATTGAGTAAAAGTAACACAGACGATAGCACTGAATATACCGAACCATATTTCCGGAGCAATCAAGAAGTTATAACCGAATCCGATACTATAAACGCATCATTAGATACATCAATTCAGAGGATACAGGAAACTTTAGAACGTTGGACTAATAGAGGTTCGGGTTGGGGTGTGGATAAAATCGATAGTTTATATTTAGACATAGCAAATTATATGCCTTTCAAAGGTGGATCTTATATAGATTAACTCCCGTATTATAAAAAGAAAAAAGCCATAATTAATGTAAAGAATAAATCCGATGACTGTTTAAGAGTGATGATAAGATCTGCATTGTTCCCCGTAGATTCTAAAATTGCAAATAGACCTTCGAGCTATCCTCAAAACGATGGACTCAACCTCGATGGTATAGACGAACCTACACCAATATCACAAATAATTTAGCTATAAATGTTTTCGGACATTCTTCTAAAGGAATTGTTGTACACAGGATAAGCACCGCTCCAGAAGATATTCCCTGAATCAATTCATTTCTGATAAAAAAAGATGGAAAATATCATTATACATGGATAAAGAGTTTAAACAGGCTATTATACGATCAAACTAAATATAAGGGAAAGAAATATTTCTGTGAAAGATGCCTGCATGGGTACAGCAGACAAGATCTATTGGAAGCGCATAAAGAGTGAGTGAGTGAGTGAGTTTGGTTTTACGCGGCTTTTAGCAATATTCCAGCAATATCACGGCGGGGGACACCAGAAATGGGCTTCACACATTGTACCCATGTCGGGAATCGAACCCGGGTCTTCGGCGTGACGAGCGAACGCTTTAACCACTAGGCTACCTGACCGCCCCAAGCGCATAAAGAAGACTGTAGAGGTGTTGGACAGACTGCTATCAGGATCGATATGACTAAAGAGGGGAAAAATATATTAAAATTTGAACATTATTGTAATCAAATGCCAGTACCGTACGTAATTTACGCCGACTTCAAAGCACTTATCAAACCTATAGAAAATAATCAAGATAATCAAGATAATCAAGAAAGTTTTATGTACAAAACTCAAGAACATATTCCTTGTGGGTTTGGATATATAGTTGTAAGGTATGATGGGAAAACAAACCCGCCCGTGATTTACAGAGGTCCCGATGCAGCTGGAAAGTTCCTAGAATATCTACAAAATGAAG